TTTTTTTTTTTTTTTTTCTGGGCCGTCGATTTTTTTATTTATTTATTTTTAATCTAAGGACAATAGTATCTCTTAATCCCTGCAAGTGAGAGACCTTGCGGCGGGGGGCGGGAAAGGGACGAAAGGGACGTCCATTTGTTTCTGGTTTAAATTTAAAAAAAAAAAAAAAAAAAAAAAAAACTCTACAAAAATTCTGTTTTCTGTGTTTGTTTGTTTGTGTTTTTTTTGTTTTTTTTTAAGATCCGCGCAAAACTGTTTTTTGTGACAGATAATCTCCCTCGATGCCGTTCTGAAGAGCCGTCTGTCGGGATCCTTACTACATCTTTTTTCTTCTTTTTTTTTCATTTTTCCTTCTTTTTTTTGAAGTTTTTTTTTTTTTTTTTTTGAAGTTTTTCGTTTTTTTTTTGTTGAAATTTTTCGGTTTTTTTTTCCCTTCCTACATCTCGCTCGTCGCTCTCTGCGTACTCAGGGCCTCGTTGCACTACACGCCATTGGCCAGCATTTTGAGTGAATCAGGACAACTCCCCTGTCCAGATTCATTCAGAATTTTGCACGATGGCGAGTGGTGCAACTGGACCCTTAGAGTCTAGTTGCACTACTCGCCATTGGCCAACATTTTGAATGCATAAGGACGTAATTTCGGTTCAGATTCATGCAATTTTTTTGCCCGCTAGCAAATGCTGAAACTGGGCCCTTATTGTGTAAGTGTTGTTGCCCTCTTTGCGTACACAATGGGCCTCGCTCCACTACTCTCCACATGCACAAAACATATTAAAAAAACTATGGCTCTGTATCTTTCCATGTTCTTGCGGAAGATTCATTCTCATTTTGCACACTTGGTGAGTGGTACACCGAGTCCCAATCTGTAGCTTGCATTTGCCTCGGTCGACGGCCGACTGTCCGTCGGTCTATCGTCTGTCTGCCTCTGTATCTTGCCACGTTCTAGCGGAAGATTCATTCAAATTTTGCACATTTGGTCGTCTGTCGTCTGCCGCCATCCTACACCTTCAAAACTGTTTTTATTAACTTTTTAACTTTCTCGTGATTATTATTAGCTAATTTCCGACGATTTCTTTTTTTTTCCCCCCAATAATTTCCCTAGATTAGTAGATTCTCAATTCAAATTTTTTTTTTTTTTCGGAATTCAATTTTTGTTTGTTTGTTAAACTTTGTTTGTTTTTCTTTGAGGGGTGAAGAAGGGAGGAATTTTTTTATTTTTATTTTTTTTTGGGGGGGAGGAGGAGGGATTTTCTCGATTCAAGAAACTGATTAAAAAAATGCGCATTCCATAGTAAATTAATAAATTAGTAAATTAGTAAAAAATTGAAATAAAAATAATTAATTATTTGGCGACAAGCCTTCCACGTACCGTCCGTTCCTGAGCAGGTGATCCAGCTGCCGCGCTCCCACGCGGGCAGCGCTTGGCGCGCAGCTAACCGTGGTAAAGGCTGCTGCCACGTCAGCTTTTGCTCTGACTCCTCCCGCCAACGCAGATTTCATTTTCCCGCCAATTCCTCCCGCGACGCCCGCGGATGCGGCCGCTGCGATACCCGCCATGGGGAAGATATTCAAATAATTATTATTTTAAAAAAGAGGGGGAGAGAGAGAGAGAGAAAGAAGGTTAAAGAGAGGTTGGGAGAGAGAGAAAGAGAGAGAATGGTAGCCCACACGTAAATGTATTCGTGTTTGTGTTTGTGTTTGTGTGCGTGTGCGTGTGGGTGTATTTTGTATTGGCTGAACACAACTCCACACAGCAACTGGTGACTGTGCCACACTGTTTCGTCCGACTTTCAACGACTCATCAGGAGGTTAAAGAGAGAGAGAGAGAGAGAGAGAGAGAGAGAGAGAGAGAGAGAGAGAGGGAGTGGGAGGGAGGTGTGTGTGTGTGTGTGCGTGTGTGTCACACAGAGAGAGCGAGAGAGAGAGAGGGAGGTGTGTGTGTGTGTGTGTCACAGAGAGAGAGAGAGAGGGAGAGGTGTGTGTGTGTGTCACA